CCCCTTCCCAACCTCACGCGAGAGGATTCGAGAGGAAGTTCAGCAACCGCTCGTTGGCCGCCTCACCTCGCCGCCCCACCCCCTACTGCCTCCCACCCACATCCACCAACGTAAAAACAGCGCGGGCCAACAAACGATTCATACCTTCCCCCACTTACACCACCTGGTGATTGACTGGCTGTATTTTCGAGAAGAGGGGTGGGGTGGGGGGCGGTTGCCAGACTTCCTGCCTAACGTGCAAGTACATAAAAAATTATTACAAAAGAAGAAGTGTGAGACGGAAGTGTGAAGTTCGTGTACACTATTTGTATAGTGCGAATGACGGTGTAGTACAACGCGCTACGGTAGAACAGCATCGACACACCTCGTCACGATTTTGTTTGTTTTTTCTGTTGCCTCAAGCTGAGCGTCGCTTGCCAAAACGAAGGCACCTGACCCTCGACTCGTTCAGTCAGATTTGAGTTTCTTTTTTGTACTGTTAGCCATTCCCGTTATATTTAGGCAGAGAATTTTAGGCCACGGTCAAGTGCGGCCAAATCATTGTGAACGACTCGAGCAGGAGAAAATACAGAACTTCGCGATCTCCTTTATGCTGCTGCTTTGACTAAAAAGAAAAAGTAAATTGAATGGTAATTTTGATATTTTTAAGGGTATGATATAAATAAAACAGAGAGAGGCACTGCGATAACAAACACAGGTGTTTTATTACTGGCACCTTTAATCCAAGATGCATTTCAAGAATGTCCATGCGCACTTCATATCTTTAGGATAGAAGCAATAGTTACGCTTACATTTCTCCACCGTAAAAACACCGTTAGTGCATTGACCATACTCTCTCCTTGAAATTCCCTCACAGGGGATGACAACCTTATACACTCCTTCTGGTTCACATTTTGGCCTAAAGTCACAGTTCGGCACAACTGTGGGCGGCAGATTAGTAGTTGTAGGTTCTGGGGTCTCCGTCGGAGGTTCAGTCTCAGTGGGAGTCTCGGTCTCGGGAGCTGGAGTCTCGGTGGCTTCGGTTGGTGTCTCAGTCTCCGGCGCGGGAGTCTCCGTAGCTGCGGTGGGTGTCTCAGTTTCGGGAGCTGGAGTCTCTGTAGCTTCGGTGGGTGTCTCAGTCTCAGGAGCTGGAGTCTCAGTAGCTTCGGTTGGTGTCTCAGTCTCTGGTGCGGGAGTTTCCGTGGCTACGGTGGGTGTCTCGGTCTCGGGAGCTGGAGTCTCGGTGGCTTCGGTGGGTGTCTCAGTCTCAGGAGCAGGAGTCTCAGTGGCCTCGGTTGGTGTCTCAGTCTCCGGCGCGGGAGTCTCCGTAGCTGCGGTGGGTGTCTCGGTTTCGGGAGCTGGAGTCTCAGTGGCATCGGTGGGTGTCTCAGTCTCAGGAGCTGGGGTCTCAGTGGCTTCGGTTGGTGTCTCAGTCTCCGGTGCGGGAGTCTCGGTGGCTTCGGTGGGTGTCTCAGTCTCAGGAGCTGGAGTCTCAGTAGCTTCGGTTGG